GTGGAGAAAAGATTCTTATTCATCAACGACAACGAAAAGTTCGTTTATCAGAAGGTCAGCCAGCTTTGGTAACACTTCACCTTTTTTCTAGTAGTGGCAACAAACATATTTTCAGAGCTTACCGGGGTATCCATCCACTTTTAAAATTGCTGAACTATGTTTTGAAACAATAGCCGCACATTCTACAATTATCTGAAGTCATTGCCTTGGCTTTCTTCCACTTTGAGGAACAAATGTGTCATAAGACGCAGGGCAAGGACTAAGGACAACGAGGAAAATCTCCAGAGGTTCTCCTCCATCATCCTCGAAAAGTACTTAAGAGTGTGGGAGATATAGTTACTATTGCTACAAGCTATTATCGCCAGCTTTTTCACAAGGCTTTTAGTCACCATCACTTTGTAGTCAATCCATTTTCCAATGGCCACGTACCTTTCCCATGCCATTATTGTCAGATGGAAAATCGAACAAATCGTAAGAATGACCGTCGACCATATCGCAACAAAGTGCAGCAAGCAAATGTAATGGTCGGTCAGTATTTGCTAAGAAACTAACAGTCCAACCACAGCAGATAACGGTACACATAAACTGCCTACTAGAAGATCTGTAAGGGCCATTGTTGATAGCAAGGTATTGGAATTACTGCTATGATTGCAAGTGTTCAAAAGAACTGCAGTTGGTGAGATTATAGATGCGACTGCGGCAAAAACCCAAAGAAAAGTAGTGTCTTGTATAAACTCAAAACTAACTGTCGTTCGTGTGGGCAATAAAACATTGACCTGGTTGTGTTCTAAAAGAAGGAAGTGTTCAGTTCTGCTTCGTCCCGGGTGCTTCGTGTTGGTCCACGATGAATGCTTTATTAGAAAGTTTTAGTTAACTCATCTTTTTCTTAGTTATACACCGTATTCACAAATGGCGGACACGCGGAAAAAAACTGGTACCTAGTCATGAAAGCGAGGCGTTGGAGGATAAACAAAAATTGAAAATGAAGACTTTCAGTGAACTTGCAGAGTGTTTAGCACGGATTCCACCTAAAATAACTTTGTACGGACATCTTTTTAACCACAATTACGTGGTATGTCTTCTGCTTTTAATGTTTAGTGTTGATTTGCTGTTTGCAATCAAAAGGGACGCGTATATCTTCAAGGAAACAGGATAATTTCCGAAGCATCAGAAGCTCGACAAGTGAGCGATGGCTGGAGAAAAGCGGCAAACATGTTGGCCCAAAATTCACATTGAAATCTAGTACTAAAGCCAGCTCACTGTAATTCGGTAAAGCAGAAATAAAAGCAAATCTTGATGGCAAGAAAAAAAAAGAAATAAGCGACGAATATATGGCCTACAAGAGACGTCTGCCATTGAACAAAACAGTTCAAGTCGAGATGGAAAAAAGTAAAACAAGAAAGAAGCAGTGACTGAGGTTTCGATGAAGTTATGTTTGCAAAGTGGTTTTTGTTTGCCAGGACGTTATTCTCTGGTCTTTATCGATGAAGGACATCAATTAGAACTATTTTTTTTAGTGTAAATGCAATGACGATTCAGTGGAGTACGCTCAAAATTCCAGCTTGTTACTCGGCAGACTCGGTAAGCCGGCAGAAGCCGGCCACATATCATTTCAGCGAGCAATTTTCGCATTTCTTATCTTTGGCTGTTAAGAGTTTTAACTTCATCTTCCATAATATTTTAAAAGTGAAGAATACATAAATGAATAAAATGATGGTCTTCTTAAACGGATCCAGACTCGAATTTAATGATTCGAAACAGAGGCTTGCCGTGTTCAGTCCTGACACAAGCATTGCCTTAAAAGTTTAACCTAGGAAAATGTGAGCTTTATACCACATTTGTACCAAAAGCTCTCCGAGATAATGCCCTAAAGGAGACCAGGCAAATAGCAAGCCTTAAGATTCACACACTACAGCTTGTAATTTTGATAAAAATTATTTTATTTCGCAATGACAAAGAAATCGAAAGATTTTTGCTAAGCTCTGCCAACGTACCTCTAACAATTCACTCCAAAGCGACGGGATTAATATCATCCAAATGAAGTTGTAAATACAGACATACATATATACATAGATATGTATAAAATGACACTGATATGAATAAATGAGCCTCGTGAATGAATCTTTCACCCGCTCTCGACTTGACCAGTTTTGTGTAATGGCAAAGGTCTCTTCCGTTGTCAAGTAGGCCATATATCCGTTGCTTATTTCTTTTTTTTCTCGCCGCCAATATCTGCTTTTATTTCTGTTTTACAGAATTGCAGTGAGCTGGCTTTCGTATTCGGTTTCAGTGTGAAGTTTGGGCCAACATGTTTGGCGCTTTTCTCCAGCCATCGCCCACTTGTCGAGCTTCTGAGGCTTCGGAAACCTTCAAAATCATCCTGTTTCCTTGAAGACACACGTCTCTTTAGATTGCAAACAGCAAAGCAGTACTAAAGATAAAAAGCAGAAGACGTCCCACGTAATTGTATTGAAAAAGACGTCCGTGCAAAGTTATTTTAGGTGGAATCCGTGCTAAACACTCTGCAAGTTCACTGAAAGTCTTCATTTGCAATTTTTGTTTATCCTCCAACGCCTCGCTTTCATGACTAAGCACCAGTTTTTTCCCGCGCGTCCGCCATTTGTGAATACGGTGTGTGTCCTTGCTTATATAGCTTACACAGCGCGTGTTATTCTTAAAATCCTATATGAAGTGTGAATGGCGCTAGTATTACATTAAGTGTCTATATGAGGAAAAACGCAGGTTGTGGGCTCGTTTGGTGATTTTTCTCATCAGTATAAGCGGCCCAAAAAAGAAAATGCTAAATTTCATTTTATCGAATTCGGAAGCGATTTCTCATTGTCTAAAACTTCGGCGATAGTTTACTGCTAATCAAAAGGTCACAACATTAACATATTACAAATGAGCACTCTTTTTTGCTTATAAATAGTTTACCTTTTGGAATATTTTTAAACAGTTACAGAAAATAAAAATCCAATCATTAGCGTAAATGTGAAATTGATTTTAAGACAATAAGCTTGTTTTCCATTCCTTTTCTTAATTTTTTTATTTTAAAAAAATTCATTTTACAATTTTATAACTTTTCCTTCTAGATTTTCTTTATAGAAAGTTAAATGACCTTATTTCCTAATAAAACCATTCCTCCTTTTGCCTTGGAATTGTATTTTCAGTTTTACATTCGGCTTTCAACAAGCTTCATTTTCAGATGTTTGATCACAATTATGTCTTAGTTTTTTCGCATTAGAGAGGTATTTTTAAATCTTTCCTCCGTGAACACATTCCCATCACAACAAATTCAAGACAAACACAAAATGAATAGAGATGACCACTATATTTTACCGTTCGCTGTTTTTTGGCGTGAAGGAAGTGCATGTGTTTACCTTTATAGCCAAATGAAAAGTAGATAAAAACTGACCAAATGTCGATTGTCCGGTTGACAATCGACAGCAAATAAAGCATGTAAATGGAAATGAAATGTAAGTTATGGTCAAACGACACCTATATTCCAAGTACGCCAGTATGCATTGTCTAGTAAGTCTCTGTAAGATTCTTTATTATAATCGCAATTGTTTCTATGTAAGTCATATAACGAAGAGATTCACCAATTAACTGTTGTATGAAAGAACTCTTGTAATACAGACCTAGTTGTTCTAGGGCTGGGCTGTATCAGTTAACTCGGTCAACAACGAAATTCACTTCCTTATAGCAAGAAAGTTTTATCCATTTTTATCCATTATCCTATAACTAATATTACTCAGCGTGTAGCTATACTACGACAGAAAAATTTGGTTTCAGAGGGAAGTTGTTGGACACTATTCAATGTATCTGTCTTAGTAATGAAAGTAAATACTCAGTCACGAACAGTAATTATAGTGAAACATTAATATGCAAAATGATTTTATGTCAAGTTATTCAAAGTTGTCGAGTAGAATATACATATGTGATAGGAGAAAATAATCACCAAGTCATCACCAAGAAATTTAAGGTTTTTGGCAAAAGCTATTACGTCCTACCATTTTTAGTTTGTTACCGTTCTATCATTTTTAGTTTGTTAATGTGTCCAAGTTACTGAAGATTTTAACTATCATTGAAAGTTATGCACCCAATCCATCTACGAATTTCCCTGTTTCGTGGTCACGGTCATGTTTACATCTCCCACATCCCATAACTTGTTTTAGCTTGTTTAGGGGCGTGTTATGATCATATCCGATTCTATGAGTCATTATTTTGANATGCATTGTCTAGTAAGTCTCTGTAAGATTCTTTATTATAATCGCAATTGTTTCTATGTAAGTCATATAACGAAGAGATTCACCAATTAACTGTTGTATGAAAGAACTCTTGTAATACAGACCTAGTTGTTCTAGGGCTGGGCTGTATCAGTTAACTCGGTCAACAACGAAATTCACTTCCTTATAGCAAGAAAGTTTTATCCATTTTTATCCATTATCCTATAACTAATATTACTCAGCGTGTAGCTATACTACGACAGAAAAATTTGGTTTCAGAGGGAAGTTGTTGGACACTATTCAATGTATCTGTCTTAGTAATGAAAGTAAATACTCAGTCACGAACAGTAATTATAGTGAAACATTAATATGCAAAATGATTTTATGTCAAGTTATTCAAAGTTGTCGAGTAGAATATACATATGTGATAGGAGAAAATAATCACCAAGTCATCACCAAGAAATTTAAGGTTTTTGGCAAAAGCTATTACGTCCTACCATTTTTAGTTTGTTACCGTTCTATCATTTTTAGTTTGTTAATGTGTCCAAGTTACTGAAGATTTTAACTATCATTGAAAGTTATGCACCCAATCCATCTACGAATTTCCCTGTTTCGTGGTCACGGTCATGTTTACATCTCCCACATCCCATAACTTGTTTTAGCTTGTTTAGGGGCGTGTTATGATCATATCCGATTCTATGAGTCATTATTTTGAGGACTGTTAGAGAGAAACCTCGCAAACAGATATCCAGAAGGACTGAAACTGCTGATATGAAACTGGTTTTTACCATTCTACCGATTTTTATCTCGCTCGGCACAGGTACACTTTAAATCATTTCTGCGGTCTACAAATCTCGCGGCCGCTTCAGTCTCGGTAATTTCACAGGGCCGATTGTATATCGCTTGCCACCGAACGAGCCTTTATTTCGAGAAAAGTCTGTTTCAATTGAGCACTCGACTGAAAACATTCTTCTTCCTATTACATCTGAAGTTATTTCTATTTTGTTTTTTCGCTACCATGGATGTAACCGAACAAACTAGTTGTACTGAATGTCGTATTCATGTTTCGGAAGCGTTTTTATACGTTTATTGAAATAATCCACTAAAGCATAGCCATCAAGTATTTTACTTTATTCTGCTCAAAGTCATTAATATCCGCGCTTTAAGTAAAGCTATGAACATAAGGATAATATGACATAATTATGATAAGTCAAAATTATGGTAAATTCCTGCTTCAACGGATCCTACATTTACTTCTACAAACTTCGGTTTAAAAGTCCGTTCTCCAGGACTTTTCCAAGTTTCCGGAAGAAATACCATAACGTATTATTAAAAGGAGGCTTTTTGGAGCACGAGCATTTATTTACAGTGATTTATTGATAATTCATTCGTCGCTCCTCTTCTTGAGAACTGAGCCGCGCTAAATTGAATTAACAGTTGCTGTTTTTGAGGCGACCAAAAAACTGAGCCGAATTCACTCTATTTTTATCACCAACTGCATGTAACAAGTTTCATCTGTTCAGATAAATGGAATCGTGAGTATTCAAAGGAAGTTGTTAGACCTTTCAACTCTTTAGATAAACAGAATATTTTAAAGGAAACATTATCGGCAAAATAACAGGGGCACCCAACGACAATTTTCGAAAAATATCTGTTCGAAAGACGATTTGAGATCTAGAATTTTCGGAACATTTTTTCCAAAATTTCTTGCTTGTCTGCCTCTCCTAGGATTTTCGAACATCTAAAAAATGGTATAATTGCCCATTTTTAACGGATTTTTGCCCTAAAAAGGTCACCTAGAATTTTCGGGAGCCTTTTTTCTGGCTGAAATTTTCGAAGAGGTAAGTTTTGATCCCTATAATTTTCGGATCACTAGACTTTCAGCTAGGAAATCCAAACAGATGATAAATTTTTAGGGGATAAAAATATGCCTATATCTACCATGTGAATACTAAAATACGTTTAACAATGCTATGTTTAAGTGGTTTTGAACTACATTCTCGTTGGGTGCCCCCGAAATAAATCAAGGACAAAAATTGAACCTAAATCAAATGCCTTATGGACATGTAATTTGTACAATCACTGCCAATAAATTTGGTAGCCGTTAACCACCATTTCTATTTATACACTTGATTCACGGAGGTTGTAAACATTTTGATATTTGATAAAAAATTCACTGGCGGTGAATTAGCTATTTTCACCAAGTTTTAGTGAAAAACGGTGAACTGTTCTTTTTTTCTAACAGTTCAGTCGGACGATAAATTCAAGCGAGATGTCACTGATGCGGCATTGATGACAACTCTACGAAGTATTGAACGCATACTAAAATTTGGTTAGTAATATCAAGCAAAGATTATATTTTGACTCCAATTGGTTAGAGTTTTCTGATTTTGGTAAGGGTTTGAAGGGAAAATTAGCCAAGCATATGAACAACGGGTAACAGATCTAGAACCACTTTTTTGACCAACTAGCTCTAGCCAACAAACCAACACCCTTTAATTAAATAGCTTAACCGTAGACTTGCTATGGTGAGCTGACTTTCTAATCGGGTACAAAACTTAAGAGAAACCTTAGGGATAACCCCACCAATGTTCATAGAAATAACCTTTGTTTTGTTTTCCATTGAAAAGGTCCTTGTCCCAGTGACTGGACATATTTTAGAGGCTACTGTTACTTGGTGAGCAGTTCCATCAAGACTTGGCACCAGGCCCAAGCCTACTGCAAAGGACTGGGAGGAGATCTGGTGAAGATCAACAGTGAAGAAGAAAACGAGTTTGTACTGAAGCTGGTTAACAAGCGCGCCCCGTCACTGCGTCAGGTTTGGTTGGCACTGGAGTGGAACCAGCAAAGAAAAGCGTTTATCTGGGCTGACAACTCAATTCCGACATTCAAGAAATGGTTTCCAGGTGAGCCGAATGGAAATGCTCATGAACCATGCAGCAATTTTTGGACCAGGGAAAATCCCCCCGGAATAAATGGACACTGGAATGACCTATCCTGTTGGAATCAAAATGTCCCCTGTGGTATTGTCTGCAAGAGGCTGCCTTAGGCTTGACCGGCATCAAAGCCCGAAAGTAGAGTGATTCAACTAATGTAACGAACCAAAACGCATTACAGCTAAGAATCAAGACGGCACTTACCAAGTGCGTTGATGTAATGTCAGCTTGAAAATAAAACAGCTATCCTACCTATTTGTGTTTTTTTCCCCGCTGCTATGCATGTAAGCATCACTGTCACGATTAAGTTAAAAAAACTAAACATTTGTGTAGGGGTCTCTGTTGAATCTATTTGGAATTTTTGCCTTTTTAAAAACATGCTTTTCACCAAAATCCGAAATTTACAACCCAAAGCGAGACGATGAGCAACCCCGCCCCTTTCATATGGGAATCCCCCTCCCCCCAACCCCCCGAGAAAAAATATTTTTTGCATTCAAGGCTTTACCTTTACAAAAGTTATAAAACAGAGGTTGGAGTAACTAGAAATTGGCAAATGGTTGTCGCTGGAGATTTCCAGAGGTATTCACAGTTTTCCGAATCACCTCTACCCGCCTCTCCCAAACTTTTCGCGCGCGTGACTTTTATCAGTAAGGGACTGTGCAATAATTATCGGGAGGCGGGGTGCTGAAAAACCAAATGGGGGTGGGGGGGAGAGGCATTAAGTAAAAATAATCCCAAGTTAGAGGGGACTCAAAATGAAATAAATTACTCTTATTACAGGGTGGCCCTAACTTGCATTTTATGTCATGTACAAAAAATTGTAAAAACAATTCTACATGCACTGTAAAGCGGGAAATGTACTCTCAATTATGCTCAATGCTCTTAGAAAATGTGAATTTTATATATATAAAAAAATGTCATCACATTTTAAACATGGTACCAGATTTTCCTTGAAAAAGAATTGATTTGTGACATAAAATTTCTATAATCCTAGTATTCACTTGTACAAGGCCAAACTCAACTAAAAACATATTTGTCCCAAACAAACCATTTGTACTTAGGCAATTTAGGCCAGTATTAGGTTTGCCACCCTCTTTTAATAGGCTGTCATCATGTTTAGTTATGTTTTCCGTCCCTCTCGGCATGGCCTTATGTTGCTGTCATCATGGGGTTTTGGCTTGTACTCCTCTCGGAGAAAACTTTTAGCGCAAGCAGGGTTGAAGTTTTGAAAGATATGAAAAGCATATATGTGAACTGCGGAGTGAAGAATTAAATGATGGATGATCATCTCAGTTATATACGCAACTTCATGCAGTTGCGAAAAGAAAGCACGAAAAAAAAAAAGAAAAAGAAAAAAAAAGAAAAGGCGCCTGAATTTTTTTTCAGGCGATGATCACCCTTCATTTATTTACAAGCAGGATTGTCGGGCAATAAAAAAGAAGCGGTTTTCAAGCTTTTCAACTTCTACGGTTACATTAAATTTAATGTGGGGGGACTGGGGGGTTGTAAAAATATTTTA